ACATTCGACTCAACGGGCAACGTCTGTCCATCAAAGCCGAGCATAAATTCTTAGGCCTAATCTTGGACAACAAGTTGACATTTGTGTTGTACATCAAGTATTTAAAAACAAAATGTTTAAAAGCCATGAGTGTTATAAAAGTGTTGTCACGTACTACGTGGGGTAGTGATAGGCAATGCCTCATGAACCTCTATAGAAGCCTCATTCGCACCCGCTTAGACTATGGGGCCGTTGTCTATCAGTCTGCTACTCAAAGTGCCTTGAAGATGCTGGACCCCGTGCACCATTTGGGCATCCGCCTTTTTACGGGTGCTTTTCGCACCAGCCCCGTAGAAAGCCTTTACGTTGAGTCAAATGAGTGGTCGCTTCATCTGCAAAGAACTTACATGTCCTTTGTTTATTTCCTTAAGGTGAAAGCAGACAAGGAGCACCCCTCATACTCTACAATTAATGATTTGTCGAGCTCAACTCTGTTTCAAAACAGGCCTTCGATGAGGCAGCCCTTCTCAGTTCACCTGAAGTGTCTAGCTGAAGAAACTGCAGTGTCACTTGAACACAGTTTAATGGCTCCTGTAGCATACCCGCCACCGTGGCAGTGGCAGACTATAGACTGCGATGTGTCTTTCCTAGAAGTTACAAAACATGCACCTATTGCCCATATCCGAACATACTTTTTGGAACTTCAAAACAAATACACACGTCCCGAGTTCTTCACAGATGCCTCCAAGACTAACTCCTCTGTGTCCTACGCTGCTGTCGGCCCATCCTTTTCGGATGCTGGCCCTCTACATCCACGCACAAGTATCTTCACAGCGCAAGCTTACGCGATACTTGTGGCAGCTAAACACATCAAACAATTACAAATACAAAAAGCAGTAATTTATACAGACTCCCTTAGTGTGGTAACGGCTCTGCACAGTCTTAAAAAACAAAAAAAAACCCGGTCCTTGTCTCACTTTACTCCATTTTGTGCACACTCCATACACTCAAACAACATGTTGTAGTGTGCTGGGTGCCAGGGCACCGTGAGATCCAAGGCAACGTGAGGGCGGATCAGCTCGCTGCATCCGTCCATGAGAGCACCGCCGTTACATCCATATCAATCCCGGTCCTTGATCTTAAGCCGTCTCTCAAACGAAACCTCAGGGACTACTGGCAGAGCAAGTGGGATACACACACACAAAACAAACTACACGTTATTAAGCCACACCTTGGTCATTGGCTGCCTGTATCGAAATCGCGTCACACAGAGGTAATACTAACGAGACTCAGGATAGGACACACATACACGACACACACACACCTTTTGTCCGGTGGCGATCCACCATTGTGTGACAGATGTGGTGAAGCATTAACAGTTCTTCACATTTTAATTCAGTGCAAACAATTGGACACTGTAAGAAAACAACACTTTCCATTACCCTACCGACAACATATACCTTTACACCCTGCAATGTTCGTCGGTAGGGAACCACTTTTTAGTCACAAATCATTGTTAGCGTTCTTTAAAAAAATTCATAGTTTTCATATCATATACCCGGGCATCCCGTAGCATGACCTCTCCAGAGAGGTTTTTGCTGCGATAATTGATTACACAAGAAAGCATGTGCCTCACGGCCCTTGGACGCAAGGGTATGAACGTGTGAGGCACTTGTGCTAATGCCATACATATCCACCATCGTCTTTTATTATCACCAACTTTTGTCATCTATTCACACCACACACACCTTTCACGGCATGGTCATGATTTTATTACTTGTATGTTTTTACCCGCCTTACCGCGAGGAATTTTATGGCCCTTATACAGCCGCTAATCACAATCATCGTCCACATTCCATGTCCCATGAAGTGGCGCTCTTTGGCCATCAAATGGCCCTTGCACCAAAAAACACCATATATCATCATAGGTAGCCAGCATAACACTACTCGCAACACGCAATTTATGGTGACAGTAATAAGTGGAAAAGCTGTGCATGTTTTGAAATATTATTTTCAGCGATGCCTCAGTGAAGCGAAGTTTTGGTTAGCATAATTGTGGCTGAATGGCATGTATTGCAATGAAGTGAATCAAGGCATTCTGGCTTGTTAAAGGGGTACTGACTCAAAAACTTTGGCCTCGTGTTTTTCTGCTGCAATGTGTTGATGGGGGCTTGTTGGTCGTAACACGATGTATCATTTGCTGCAGCACGTGACAGATAATTAATTACAAGCCCCTCATTATTGACCAGTTTCAGTTTCGGTTTGAGAGAGCTGCAAAAATGAAAAGCCCCCGGGTGCAACTATTGTCACGTGGTGTGTACAGCTCTCGACCACGTCAGCACACAGAACTGTGACACACTTCCACACGGTGCGCATAAAGAATTACTTTCGAATGGGAAAGGGGACTACAGTATCGCCAAACAAAAAACTTTTAAAGCATGCGCCACGGCTATGCACTCGCGACCAGCTGCCGAGAAGTATAGACTGTGGTCACAAACAGGGCAAAAGAAAAATGGCGGCTCTGATGTCATCATAACTTGTTTTATTGACTGCGGCGCGGTGACATGAGGGAAGGAGGGGGTCTCCAAAGAGTCCCCTTCGAGGGTATCAATGGCATGATAGAGTTGAGCGGTCATGGAAACTTTAAAATTAATATATATTACCTTTGAAGCTATATTCTCTATTTACATTGTGCAGATGGTGTTCGCCATAGTACACCTGATACCAAACTGTTGGTGCGCTCACTAGTGCTTGAATAGTAACGCACTGTCTGCCCATTTGCGAGGCAACCACCAGCCCGTAAGCTCGGGCAATAAACGGTTTGGTTTTCTCCGTTGGAACACTGGCTTGTCAGTCCCTGGACGAGACACAACGCTAACGATGTGGATGAGACCAGAAAAATGAAGAGTGGTGGTGAGGAAGCGACAATACAGTCTGCAGGGCAGCTGAGCCAGATGGAGTCGTTCGACATTACTGCAAGCAGCTAGACGGCATACAAGGAGAGGTTTACCTCTTTTCTGATTGAGTTCTCGATGACAACAAGGTACACACCTTCCTCAGCACCATCGGACCGCGTACACATGGGTTGCTGAAGTCGTTCGCTGCATTGAAACTGTCGCTGGAAAAAAGTTTCGAGCAACTGAAGAGCCTCTTAGATGCACATCTTGCCCCAAAGCTGTCCATGATCGGGGAACGAGCAAAGTTTTGCCGCTGTGCACAGCATTAAGGTGAGTCGAATATGTTGCTAAACTTCGGAAGTTGTCCAGAGTTGTCAATTTAGAGCGAATTTGGACGAAGCGCTGCGGGACCGTTTTCTTTGTGGGCTGCTGCGGGAAGGCGTGCAGTGAGTATTTTTACCAAGGACGAAAAACTGATGTTCCCGAAAGAAGTTGAACGTGCACTGGCCATGGAAGCAGCCCGAAAGAATGTTGCCAAGACTAGAGTCGTAGAGTCAATGGCCACACAGCTGCGCAGAATAGAGGGACAAGGCAATGATGACTTCACTGAGCTGTACGGGACGCAAGGGATTACCGGTAAGCAGCTGCTGGTTTGTTATTGCTGCGGCTGTGCGAGCCACACTCTTTCAATACACCCGCACATTAATAATACATGCTCTAAGTGTGGAAAGAAAGGGCTTATTCAAGGGCCTGGCACAGCAACTGGCTATATGGTGGTGGGTGTCACCAAAAACAGAGAGGGAAAACGCTGGAAGGGGTGACGCAGATGCCACCCATAGACGTTTCGGAACAAGTGGTTTTTGGCCGCATTCCCTTTTTTGTTGGACTGAAAACAGATGGAGCTGTGGTGGAAATGAAACTTGACACGGGTGCCGCATTGGCTATCGTGCTTTACAAGCAGTTCAAGCAGCAGTTTCCTTCAGCCAGATTTAGACCAACCGACATCGTCCTGCGCATCTATACTGGAACACTTGTCCAACCTTGCTGTGGGACAGCACGGTGAACAGGCCGTAAAACTACTGCTCCGCCTTGTCGATCTAGCGGGACCACCGCTGCTCGGACGTGAATGGCTGCGCACAGGACGGCAAGGCTGGAATTAAATTTGGGGCCTCAACCCTGCCTCAAGGTCAGTGTTCGACTTGTCTGTACGAATGAGGGAAAGGCTAAATGCGTTGCTGGAAAAATGCAAAAAGGAGGAGCTAGGAGTTATCACAGATAAAAAGGCCAAGCTTTTCTTCAAGGCCGACCACCAGTCGAGTTTTCCAGAAGCACGGAATGTGCCATTTGCATTGCACTCAGCAGCAGTAGTTCAGCTGGCAATACTCACACTGTAAATACATTATAATATGCCATGCCTGCCGTGCCGGTGATAATTTGCTATTGTTGGGATTATAAAACAATGATAAACCCCTCTCTGGACATCACATCCTACCCGCTGCCTGAAATCCATGACCTATTAGCTGCGTTGGCCGGGGGGAATGCATTTTACTAAGATCGACCTTGACAGGGCATACCAACAAGTACTCATGTCAGAAGAGTCGGAAGTGCTCGACTTTGAACAGGCAGAAAGAGCTGTTTGCAGTGGACAGGCTACCTTTCGGAATAGCATCAGCACCCGGTATTTTTCAGAAAATAATACACACAACGCTGAATGGACTAAACAGTTTGTTGTTATCTCAATGACATCTTAGGATGAAACGCTGAAGAACACCTGATAGACCTAAACGCACTCTTGAAACGTTTTCTGGAGCGAGGCATCAAAATAAAGAAAGAAAAATGCACGTCCTTTCAAAATGAGCTCTGTTTCCTGGGACACAAATTTAGTGCGTCAGGAATATCTTCGTCATTGAAAAAAATTTAAGCAGTCATAAACGCTGCCACACCGACAAACAAGCAGCAATTACAGTCTTTCCTAGTTGAAAATTATTATGGAAAGTTTGTACCTAATCTATCGACAGTTGCTGCATCCTTTTATGAGCTTTTACGGAAGGACGCACCTTGGTGCTGGGACGGCTGCTGCTGAGAAGCGTTCAAGAACTTAAAGTAATCTTGTCATCGCCGCAGGTGCTGGCCCACTACAACCCGGATCGACCATTAAAGCTCTCCTGTGAGGCATCGCAGTATGTGGTAGGTGCTGTGCTCTCCCATGTTTTTGAGAATGGCAAGACCCGGCCTGTTGCTATTGCTTCGCGCACGCTTTCTGAGGCAGAGAAGAAATATAGCCAGCTTGAAAAAGAGGCATTGGCCATAACATTTTGCATAAAAAAGCTTGACTGCTATATTTATGGCCGAGCATTCACTTTAATTACTGATCATAAGCCTTTACAGCAATGTTTGGGGCCAGCAACAGGTATTCCACCTATTGCGGCTGCGCCCCTACAGCGGTGGGCTGTAATGTTATCGGCATACAGATACGACCTTCTCTTTGTAAAGTCGTCTCATAAACGAACGCAGAAGCTGATTTTTGCTCCCATTCGCCACTACCATGTGTAAATGCCGAAACGTGGGAATGTGAAGAAACTTTCTATTCTTTGCGGCTGGCCTCCCTATCAGTGTCAAGCAAAGGAATTGCGCATGCCACTGAGCAGGATAATGACCTGGTGAAAGTAAAAGAGTGCATAAGCACAAGCCGCCTAAATTTGTCGGTGATGATAGACTAAAACAATACTTCGCCAGACGTGATCAGCTGGCATTGCATCAAGGATGGATTTTGCTGGGATCACGCGTAGTCATTCCCGCTAAGCTGCAGAGAGCAGTTCTGGACGAGTTACACGAGGTTTACCCAGGTATACTTCACAGCACGGCGCTCGTGCATAGTTACCGCTGTCCAGCATATGGTGCAGTCATGTGCAAATTGCCATAATGGCGCAGTGTCCATGCAAAGCTCCGTTGCTCCCGTGGTCATGGCCCAGAACCCCATGGCAATGCATACATGTAAATTTTGCAGGACCATTTTAACAGTCAGTGTTTCTTACAGTGGCCAATGCTCACTCGAAATGGTCAGAAGTTTTCGTGATGCGCTCAACTACTACAGATGCAACAATTGAGTGCTTACGCGATGTTTTTGCTCATTTTCGGTTCCCTGAGACATACTGAAGCTTTAGCGCACTCACAGGAGGACAAATACGATAGAGACACAGGGAGCAGCGCAGCCTAACAACTGATTTTTATTCAATAAGGTAACATAATATATACTATATACAGCACCTCATGATAACTGCACGCAAGCAAAAACGTCATTATTTCCCTGAGACAATCGTGTCTGACAACGGCCCACAGTTCACATTAGAGGAGTTCAAGCTGTTCGTAAAAGAGATGGGATGCCGACACGTGCGAACAGCCCCCTGCAATCCCAGTACCAATGGACTCGCGGAGCGTTTCGTATAGCCCTGAAACACGCTAAAGAAGGATGACGCATGTCAACCAATAAAGGCAAAGCTCAACAAGTTCCTGCTGGCTTATCGCAACACACCCCATGCTACGACACACCGATGCACCAGCTAACTTGTTGGGGCGACGTTTATGCACCCGTCTCGATGTATTAAAACCCGCCGTGGGGAGAGAGAGAGAAAAACAACTTTATTTAAGTGAAAAAAAAAAAAATCACAGAGGAATGGCGATCAGCCCGTGCCTGGCCGCCACCTTCCTCAGCTCGCTGATCGGCCCGGAGCTGTACTTCTAGGCTCGTATCTCGGAGTACTCGTTGCCATGCCTCGGATGAGGGAGCGGTCAGGAGATCAGGCGGGGGTGGATCCTCGCTGCAGTCCCATAGTATATGGGAGAGGGAGGCAACGTAGCCACATTTTGAGCAATGCGGACTGAACAGATCGGGGTAAATGTGTGCGTATACCCGCGGGCACGGGAACGAATTCGTTTAGGAGGCGGTGCCATGTGATTTTTTGTGGTTTCGTGAGTTTAGGAAGCGGTGGTTGTTTTGTTCGACATGCGAGGTGATAGTGCTGAGCAATTTCCTGATAGTATATGAGGGGCTCGCCGTAGTTCTCTGGGTTCGTGGCGAGGCCCACCGCTCGGTTGACGAATTCTCAAGCTTGTCGGTGGGTGACCTCGATCCCCGGGTTTTCTGCGTGCGCCGAGACCCAGATATGAGATGTGGGAGGCGAATCCTCGTCTTCGAGGCAGGCGAGGGACTCAAGGAGCTGTAAGGCACCCGGAGCAACGGTACTGTGAGCGAAATGGGAGATAGTGCTTTTCGAGTCGATGAGCAGACTCAGTGAACCCAGAGGACACCGCGAGAGCTATGGCCGCTTCCTCGACTTCGGCGGGGTGGAGGGCATGGAGCCTGCTATTTGCAAGATTGAGTCGGTGTTGAGGGCAGTGAGTTTTATGCGAGCGAGTATTCAGCGGCCGGTCTTGCTACCGCGAAGTCTCTGAATCTGTGCTGTGCGATGCGCTTAGATCAGTTCGTCGACAGTGTTGTGGATGCTGAGGCTGAGGAGATGCGATGTAGAGGTCGTGCGAATGAGTCCTAAAGCCGTCTTATACACTTTGCGTATAAGTTGGTCCAGTTTGTCTCTCTCGCATCCTAGTAGGCACAGGTATGGTAGCGCGTACGTGAGTTGAGATATGACGAAGGTGTGGATAAGCTGCAGTAGCTCTTTTCCTTTCATGCCTTGCTTTCAAGCGGACACGCGAGCAATGAGGCGGGTTGTTTGAGTGACGACAACAGTGAGGCGTTCCAGTGCGATGGTGTTCCGTTGATTTGATTGAATGAATAGGCCTAAATACGCATGTGGTCAACTTGTGGTACGGCTACACCGTTGACACAGATTTGGATGGCCGGTTGGGGAGGGTACTTGTTCTGACGGCGGTCGGGAGAACGAAGCAGCAAGAGCTCCGACTCGCGTGAGGCCTGCCTGCGTCGCGTGGCTAACGACGGCGTCGGCCGCACGTTGGACGGTCTCCTCTGTCTCGCCATCTGAACCCGTAGTCGTCCACAGCGTGATGTTGTCGGCATAGATGGTATGATAAAGGCCCAGTATGCCATCGAGTGAAAAAGGCAGCGTGCGCATAGCAAGGTTAAATAGAAATGGAGACAAAACTGCTCCTTGAGGGGTGCCCCTGTCTCCGAGTGCAAGGTGTTTAGAGGTGGAGCCACCGGCTAACGATATTTCAACGGTACGGTTCGAAAGGAAGTCACATACATAGTTATATGTACGTTCGCACGGGTCAATGGCGGCAAGGTTCGAGGCGATGGCTTCGTGTCGCACCGAGTCGAATGCCTTATGAAGATCTAGACCGAGCACGGCACGAATGCCGGCCTTCGGCGAGTTACGAAGGAGGTCTTGGTGTATTTGCACTAGCGCGTCTTGCGGGGATAGGGGGGTGTAAAAGCCGAGCATCATGGGAGAGAGAAGGTCATTGTCTTCAGCGTAGGTCCGTAATCGGGCAAGGACGTGTTCTATTAGCTTGCCAATGCAAGATATGAGCGATATGGGGCGTAGGTTGCCGATGTCCGTCTTCTTGCCTGGTTTGGGGATAAATACAAGCCTCGCGTGTCTCCACTCTTGTGGTATGTGTCCCGTGAGCGCTGCAACCGATTTCACGACGAGATGTCGGAGAGACTTGTTGCTTATGCCATCAGGACCAAAGGTGAACGTTGTGCAAAGTTTGAGCATTGCGGCATAGATTTTCAGCCTCCGTAATATCTTCGTCCAATCGGGGGTTCGGTTTGCCACTGAACGGGGGAAAATGCTCCGGCGGCACATTCGGCTGGGCAAGGTTCACGTAATGACGAGTCAACTCTTTGAGCAGCTCGGTGTCCGTACCAGGGTAATGATGTAGCAGCCGGCGAAGCTGTTTTTTCGCAGACGACTTGGACGCACAGGGATTGAGCAAGTGTCGTAAAAGGTGCCGTGTTCTCTAGAAGCTTAGCTACCCGTTGAGACTGCCACACAGCTGATCCCACTGCTGTCTCGCGAGGGCGAGGCTGTGGCTCTCAATTTCGCGCACTAGTGCTTCGATGTGGTGGCGTAATTTCTTGTTGTGACGCTGCCGGCACCACCTGCGCATGAGGCCAGCGTGTGCGTCTCACATATGGAGGAGGCGAGAGTCGGTTGTGGGCAAGTCGGTGGTAGTCTCCACTTCACGGGTTGTGACTTGCACGTGCTCTTGCCAGGAAGCGATCCATTCATTGATGTCCCTAATGGTGTAGGAGGCTTGTTCTTCACGCAACTGGCAAAATTTCGGCCAATCGGTAATGCGAGCTGTGTGTTTTGGCTTCTTTCTGAGGCGCGTTTGAGTTTTTATCACGAGGATGTTGTGGTCACTGCCCACTAAAAGGCCCATGTTGTCCCAAGTAGCACGCGTAACATTCTTGCACAGTGTTGGGTCCGGCGATGTGTCATGGCACACACTGTTGCCTATGCGTGTGGGCGGCTGCCGCAGATTGTTAATTAAGGTAAGGCAAAGGTCTTGTACTAACAACCATAGCGTTCTTCCTTTCGGATCCGTGTGCGTGAAGCCCCAATCGGGATGTCGTGCGTTAAATTCATCGAGAAAGAGCAGCAGCGCATCTCCGATGAGAGCGATCGTCTCAGTGAAAAGACGAGAGAAGTCTGCCGCTTTCTCACGAGGTGAACTGTACACAATCAGGACGAAGAGCGACTTGCCTATGTGTTTGCGTGGTAGAATTTCTAAGATCAAATGCTGAATGCCCGTTGCTTTCAATTCGTGCTGTATAGCTGTGAGGCTGTTGTGAACGAGCGTGGTTGTGCAGGGGGAAGCATGCGTATCAAGCTGATGGTAGGCCACGTAACGGGGGAGGGTGGAGAGAGTAGACGTCTCTTGCAAGGCAATAACATCCGGGGCCGGTTCCGTCACCTGCAAATCAGCTTGCAGTTTCTGTACGAGCTGCTCCAGGTGGCTCCGTTTCTTACAGTACCCCCTGCAGTTCTACTGCCATATGGTCAGTGTGGGACACGCCGTGATTAAGCCATTGCAGGCTTGGGGCCCGCCTGCAGCGTGGCAGGTTGGCCGAACGTGGGCGGATGCTCGCGGTGCTCGAGTCGTGCATGGATTTCGGCGGTGGTGACTTCGTGTAATTTTTGAGAGCATTCAGGGAATTATTGATGGCCTCCGTATAACTCTTTAGGGCTTTCAGTGAGGTGTTCGTGTCCGCAATAGCTTGTTTCAGAGTGTTGAAACGGACTTCGAATTTCACGTCTAGGGTCGCGAGAGCCGCAGATACTGCTTTAGAGACCGCCGTAGCGATAACGGTTTCGGCATGAAGTGACGCGGTGGAGGTGTTTGCTTTGCGCTTACCCGCAGGCTGCGATTGCGGCTGAGATGGGGAAGAAACAGCCTTCATCGGTTCCGACACGGTCGCGGCTGGTTGCTCAAGGGTTATGTCTAGCTATGCTTCTAATGACTGAATGTATTGTGTGAGGTTTTCTATCCGAGATATCAGTTTCGAGAGCTGAGACTGCTGCGAGGAAAGTTGTGCCTTAAGTGAAAAGTTCTCCCTGACCAACTCTCTCACCTGTGGATCCTATGACAATGTCGGTGATGCTTTAAGCGACGCTGGGGTCCTTGGGCCAGGCAAGCTTCTTGGGACCAGGCACGGATGACGACTGTGACAATCCCTGGGAGGAACCAGGGGAGGAGGAGAGAGGCGACGAGGACGAGTTGAGGTAGCTAGCAGAACGGGACCGCGATCGGGACTTGGACCGTGACTTGGAAAGGGGCCTGGACCGAGAGCTCGACCAGGACCGGCCACGGTTGCGGGGTCCGGAATGGTCGGTTTGTTGCTGCTGCGGCTGGCCGAGAGGTGGGTAGGACTGCTCTTGGGACGGTGAGTGATTGGTGTGAAGGATTGATGGCTGCTGCGGTTGTGGCTCTTCGTCAGGTGCTTGCACCGGTGCGTGGTCAGACGGGGTAGGCTTCTTAACGAAATGGTATTTGCAGTTCGAACTGTTCGTTGCATGACGGCCCTTACAAACGATGCAGCCAGCACAGCATGTCAGTTGGGTGCCCTGTGGGATCGGCAGGTGTTCCTCGCCACAACGCGCACAGCGGTTTCGTTTTGGATGAGGGCAAACGTCAGTTAGATGACCCACCTTGCGGCAGTTAAAGCACGCTTCTACTCTTGGGTAAAAAGAGTAGAGGCGAATGTAGATGCTGTGATAAAAGATCCATGGTGGCGAACAATCTCCAACCATGGTGAAGAGTACGTGGTTGGTCCGTCCCATGCGAGGGCCACCCACGACAGGCATAGTGGGGTTGTTCTCTTGTCTTTCAAGATTTCTGCATCAGTAAAGCTGTCATGGGCGTTGAACATGATTCGCGAAATGCATCGTCGGGTGGTGGGGCGTAAACGTGAATTTTGATGGTCCGGACTCCGATCTGCAGTGACGTGTTGCGAAGGTAGGCTTGTGCTCGGACAGATTGTCGCACACTAAGGGTGAAGGTGTTGTTTGTGGGGTGAACCCGCACTTTATCGCAGGACGCTGGTGGCTGGTCTGGTAGTGACGCGGCCTTCAGCAGGGCTTCGTACAGTTGCCATGGCGGCAGCTTCGTAAGGTCGACGGGAGTTTTTGGCCATCCCACGATGTGGATGGCGTCAGGCGGCATCCTAGGTAGTGGACCGTGTCTTCGCAGGGGCGACGGGTGCGGTTTCAGGTCGTTACGTGGTGGCGTCGCTTGCTGGGCCCCGTTCAGCTGCGGCGTTGCCTGACGGAGCACGAGGCGTCTCTTCTCCTGGGCGCGAAAACCAGGCGATGGCTGCCAAAAGCCGTCCGACCATTCTTCTGTTGAAATCGTGGTTCCTTCAACCATGTACTTCATGTCGGGGACGACCAGGCGCGGCGGGAACGCGGGGAGAAACCCTAAAGCACTGGCAACAAGCCTACGCAAAATAAAGCGGGAGCGTTGCAAGAGACGCGAGAGCAAGAAACGCACGTCTGCTCTCTTCGAAAGCTTGAGAGGGACTCCCCCGCTGTGGGGGAAAAGGTGGGTTACAAACAGTTCAGACAGACGGTCAACCGACAGTGTCGTGTGCGCGATGAGAGTGTTGGTGACCACGTGCTTGAACGAAATTATAGTGGAATGCCCAAATGGATACCAGCTGTGGTGACTGTGCAAAGTGAACCAGTGTTTTTCAGGGTACAAGTGTCGACACCTTCAGGATTCTTCGAGTGGCGATGCCACAAGGACCAGTTGCTTGAAGGCATGGCAGAGCTTGCCAAAAACTCCATGCAAGATGACAGTTTCTCCTTGTGGCCACAGATTGACAACGAAGTGGAGCCAGCACCTCCACTGCCTGCAGCTGGATTTTCGCCTTTACCACCGCTTTACCACAGCGGGCATGCAATCGAAACGGTCATCATTATGACCTCTCTGGAGCTGTGGAAACTGAGAGAAGTTTGTAAGCCTCATGTCGGGACTGTATCAGCCATATTGTGGGCCTGGCATAGTAGTTTAGATTGTCAAAGTTTAATGAAGAGAAAGCCAGAAAGCCTACCATTTTAATGGTGTTCCTTCCGTCAAGTGGGTTATCACAAAGTTTCTGAGAGAAATGTCACAGCATGTGACTTTTGGGGAGCCTTTTAATATGTGTACGGACACCTGAGAAAGCTGCTTTAACTATTGTCAATAATATACAATGATCCAAACAATAAATTATATTTAGGCATAAAATTTATCACGAGAGTTATCCCATTAGCTCCCACAGGCACTGTAATGAATTTTGCTAGCCTTGACTATATGCTCTGGTGTTGCCATAGAGTTTGTTACAAAAATGCCTAGAGGGAAATCTGGCACCACTGTCTATGCAAATTTTTCAAGGGGCGCCAATGGTGCGCTGGGAATAATGGTATATGTGTCTGCAAGGTTTGTGTTGGCTGGTGGTGAGCAAGGCTCCGGCTCAAAAGGGGACATGACTGGGCAAATAATGTTTCTCTAAAACAAAACTTATGTAAGCCGATCTCTTTCACGTGTATGATGCTCTAAAATAAAAGTTCACTCATCCCTACGGCATAACTGAACGGTGAAAGAAAGAAACAGGGGACTGCTGTAGTAAGGTGAATGCTGGCTATGTCGTCTGCCTGTCAAGTTTGGTGGCTGTTCGTTGCTTTTTACACTATGTAAGGTTGTACCTCGATGGTGTTTCCAATGTTAAATAAAACTCGTTTTTGTGCAATTATGAAAAATAAATTGCTCACTACGCTTCTTCAGTAGTGATGATACTGCGGTCGGGTTTGGCGTGACTGTACTAATGTTAGGGTGGCCCACTGCAGATTGAGTTGCGCACCTCAGGACTAGCAATAAAGTTTTGCATCCATCCGTCAGAACCATTCTCATTGCTTTATGGACACACCCTGTATGTATGTGCTACTCTTGTTTGTGCACTGCATGACATCGAAGCAAGTGATGAGGTTTTTCAATTTAATGACAGGGTGAGGCAGCCTAACTTTTGTTTGGTTGTGGACATGCACTAATTCTTTCTTTTTTGAGCCCTTGAAGTTGACCTTGTGTTTAAAAATTTTGTGGTGATCATCAGTTATCCACATCAGACTCTATCAAGCATGCAATAACCCGTAAGTCATGTCAGCTTTTGAATGTTTTTTTCTGAGTGGAAAGGGGCTCAGACAAACAAAAGTAGCGATGTTACAATGCCTGTAGCGACATTTGCAGCCGGGCAAAGAAAAATCGAAATTCTTTTGTTATGCCCAAACTGTGCTGCCGAATAAATGTTTAGTTGTTGCATTGTCAGCCACCCTTCATTGGTAGGATTTTTGTCCTTACAAGTGTGGTGCCTGCAGGACATAATCTATAAGGCCAAGAAGAAGCGTCCCAAGATGGTGGGCCACTACCTGATGGGGGACGTACTTGGTGAGGGCTCGTACGGCAAGGTCAAGGAAGTGCTCGACTCGCACACACTTTGCCGCAGAGCTGTCAAGATCCTCAAGCGGCGCAAGCTGCGCAAGATTACCCAATGGCGAGCAAAACGTGCATAGGTGGGCCATCTCATTGGGCCACGCTTTTATTGTCTCTCGCACTCATTTTGTGTCGGGCCCTAGGGAAAGCCATCCAAATGGCATTCCTGTATAAATATCTTTGTAAATGCATTCAGTAAAAGCTATTTTGTTATTGTGATATTGTGAGTAATTTTAACGTAACTGAGGAATCCCTGGAAATATTCAAGAAACACATCACATATAAGCACTGTGTGTTTCTTGAGTGGAAGCAACGTTGAATGTGTGATTGTTTCTAGAAATTTCTAAGTTAATTTTAAGTTTACTTATGATATTATGAGTTAATAACTAGCCCATCGACAAGTTTTAATAAATTGTTATTGTGAGTGCTCACCAAGATATTTAAACGTAAACATTTTGACAGCAATCTGTCTGGCTGGGTAGAAAAGTTTAGAAAATTGAAATTGCTCCAGCCACAGTTCAAAAAGAGCCCGACGTTTCGGGACCGACTCGGTCCCTTCCTCAGGGGGTGACTGTCTTGGTCATGGAAGTGTCGTCGCGTCGTGTTCTCTCACCACGGCTCCGGCTTTCCCTTTCCACCACGTTTCGGAGACCGTGAACGTACACCGAAGGCATTGTTCCCAGCGAGCGGTTCACGTTGGCAGGCGTATGCTGAATGTGCCAAGACTCGAGCAAGAGCCTCTTTCCCAAATTCCGTTCTGTTTCAATAACAGAAGCGCCGTCTAAGTCAATTTTATGGTCGTGCTTCTCGCAGTGCTCCGCCAGAGCGCTACGTTGCACTTCCATCTTCCTGACGTCGTTCTTGTGTTGGCGCATTCTTTCCGGGAAACACTTGCTCTCGCCTATGTAGCAGGCTGGACACCCAGAACACGACACTTTGTAGACAACGCCCGGGTGTAGCTCCCTCGGAGGTCGGTCTTTCGGCCGCGGTAGCAAGCGAGTGAGCGTCGAAACAGGTTTATGGATTACCGTGACCCCGGCTTTTCCTAGGACTCTCGAGAGCTGTTCACTTATGCCCGGCACATATGGAATGGCGACGCGGTTGTTTGGCGACTTCGTTTCTCTCGTGTGCGGTGGTGTGGCCAGGGCGGAAAGGGGGTCGGGCGGTGTGTCGCTTGCAGGTGTCTTTCCGCGGTGCGGTGGTTGTCGTCTCGACAAACGGCGTGACGCCCGGCGGATGAACGCTTCTGTGTAGCCATTCCTTCGAAGCTCGGCGACAATCCTCTTTTCTTCTTTCTTCCTCTCACCCTCCGACGTGCAGATTACTCGTGCACGTGAGAGGAGTGCCGAAACCACTGAAGCTTTGTGGGCAGTTGGATGACAGGACGAAAAATGCAAATACCTGCCGGTGTGAGTTGGCTTTCTATACACCGAAAAGGTCATGCGCTCGCCCTGTCGTCTGACTAAAACATCGAGAAACGGAAGCGCCCCGTCTCGCTCTCGTTCCACCGTGAACTGTATCGCTTGGTCGATGGAGTTTAGATGTTCGAGGAAGCTGTCTACTGCTGCCTTCTTTATTATGCAAAAACAGTCATCCACGTACCTCACAAATACTTTCGGCCTGTCAATAAAGGAGCCCAGTGCCGTCTCTTCTATGTGTTCCATTGTGAGGTTCGCAGCCGTAACTGAGATCGCCGCTCCCATCGCGGTCCCGCTGGCTTGTCTGTAGAAGCTCCCGTTGACGCTGAAATACGTCCCCTTGAGGCAGTATTCCAGTAGGCGACACAGTTCGTCGACGCCCAGGCAGGTTCTTTCATCCAAGAGCTCGTCTTGGTTCAACGCTGCTCGTGCGCTAGATACCGCTAGCGCTACGGGCACACTGGTGAACAGGGATACGACGTCGAACGAGACGAAGCACTCATCGCTGCTCACGGTCACATCTCTCATGCGCTCCACGAAGTGGCTGGCGTCGCGTATGTGGGTTGGTGTTTGCCCCACGAGCGGCGCGAGAGTCCGGTGGAGATACTTGGACAGCGCCCGGAGTGGAGATGTTGTAAAATCCACGATAGGACGGAGCGGAACTGTCTCCCTGTCGAGCAGGACCACTGCGTTCCCTTTGTCGGCCGGGAGGATGACAACAAATGATGATAAGGTTGTCATCCTCCCGGCCGACAAAGGGAACGCAGTGGTCCTGCTCGACAGGGAGGCATACAACGACAAAGTGCGAGACCTGCTGGACAGTCCGGCCTACGAAGAGCTGACGAAGGACCCCACACCAAGTGTCCAAAGGGAAATGAACAAGCTCCTGGCGGATATCTTTAAAGCGCACCCGAAGGCGAGAAACATATACCTCCAGCTCATCTGCCGGAATGGCTCTGCACCAGGATTTTACGGGCTTCCCAAGACCCACAAGCCCACAGTTCCGCTCCGTCCTATCGTGGATTTTACAACATCTCCACTCCGGGCGCTGTCCAAGTATCTCCACCGGACTCTCGCGCCGCTCGTGGGGCAAACACCAACCCACATACGCGACGCCAGCCACTTCGTGGAGCGCATGAGAGATGTGACCGTGAGCAGCGATGAGTGCTTCGTCTCGTTCGACGTCGTATCCCTGTTCACCAGTGTGCCCGTAGCGCTAGCGGTATCTAGCGCACGAGCAGCGTTGAACCAAGACGAGCTCTTGGATGAAAGAACCTGCCTGGGCGTCGACGAACTGTGTCGCCTACTGGAATACTGCCTCAAGGGGACGTATTTCAGCGTCAACGGGAGCTTCTACAGACAAGCCAGCGGGACCGCGATGGGAGCGGCGATCTCAGTTACGGCTGCGAACCTCACAATGGAACACATAGAAGAGACGGCACTGGGCTCCTTTATTGACAGGCCGAAAGTATTTGTGAGGTACGTGGATGACTGTTTTTGCATAATAAAGAAGGCAGCAGTAGACAGCTTCCTCGAACATCTAAACTCCATCGACCAAGCGATACAGTTCACGGTGGAACGAGAGCGAGACGGGGCGCTTCCGTTTCTCGATGTTTTAGTCAGACGACAGGGCGAGCGCATGACCTTTTCGGTGTATAGAAAGCCAACTCACATCGGCAGGTATTTGCATTTTTCGTCCTGTCATCCAACTGCCCACAAAGCTTCAGTGGTTTCGGCACTCCTCTCACGTGCACGAGTAATCTGCACGTCGGAGGGTGAGAGGAAGAAAGAAGAAAAGAGGATTGTCGCCGAGCTACGAAGGAATGGCTACACAGAAGCGTTCATCCGCCGGGCGTCACGCCGTTTGTCGAGACGACAACCACCGCACCGCGGAAAGACACCTGCAAGCGACACACCGCCCGACCCCCTTTCCGCCCTGGCCACACCACCGCACACGAGAGAAACGAAGTCGCCAAACAACCGCGTCGCCATTCCATATGTGCCGGGCATAAGTGAACAGCTCTCGAGAGTCCTAGGAAAAGCCGGGGTCACGGTAATCCATAAACCTGTTTCGACGCTCACTCGCTTGCTACCGCGGCCGAAAGACCGACCTCCGAGGGAGCTACACCCGGGCGTTGTCTACAAAGTGTCGTGTTCTGGGTGTCCAGCCTGCTACATAGGCGAGAGCAAGTGTTTCCCGGAAAGAATGCGCCAACACAAGAACGACGTCAGGAAGATGGAAGTGCAACGTAGCGCTCTGGCGGAGCACTGCGAGAAGCACGACCATAAAATTGACTTAGACGGCGCTTCTGTTATTGAAACAGAACGGAATTTGGGAAAGAGGCTCTTGCTCGAGTCTTGGCACATTCAGCATACGCCTGCCAACGTGAACCGCTCGCTGGGAACAATGCCTTCGGTGTACGTTCACGGTCTCCGAAACGTGGTGGAAAGGGAAAGCCGGAGCCGTGGTGAGAGAACACGATGCGACGACACTTCCATGACCAAGACAGTCACCCCCTGAGGAAGGGACCGAGTCGGTCCCGAAACGTCGGGCTCTTTTTGAACTGTGGCTGGAGCAATTTCACCAAGATATGCATGTCCGAAATTTCAAAAGTATCTGGAGCTGAGGCATCATTTGTGCCTGTGCCAAGATTAATGTTTACAACATTCTGCTCAAAAACAGTACTCCTTCTTTTAAGAATTAACAACAGCCCTGCTTTTGCCTCTCTATTTTTGCATATTTTGCTCACAAGTCAATACTATAGTCATGACACTGTTGGTTTCAGAGAGAGATGAAAGTGAGCCTGCCATGAACAGGGTTTGTTGTTGTTTTTTTCTTAGTAAAGGCACATTCAAGCATCTTTTTACACTTACTGTTTGGCTAGTTGGTTGTTCTGTTTGGTATAAAAGTAATCAAGCTCATAAATGACATGATGACTTTGGGTAGATGGTGCGAGTTTGACGATTACAATGCCACACACAAATTGTGGGGCGCCTTCGTATTAAATTTTTTTTGCATAAAATGATCCTGATATTTTGTGTTTTAGATCTGCACTTGATGCTTTCTTTGAGAGCTTGTATATACAATGTCAAATACAGAATTTGTCTGTAATGTAGTGACTGGGTTTTGTTGCTTTTTCTTTGTTCGTTGTTGTGTATATGAAAAGTGTAGTTGATTCATTCTTTTGGTGATCGTGTGCTCTCTTTTTGCTTATGTGCACCAGTTTTTGTTTGCCGCCACTGCGTTCTGCTGAAGTACAATCGGCTGGGAAGCTTGGTCGAGCTCTTGAGCACCCATTCTTTTGTTGAACGTTGCCATTCTTGGTGGAGTTACCGACAGACATAAAAGAGCAACCGATACACAAGAAAAAAAAATATATAATGAGGAAACGATATCTATGGAATTTGAACCCAGGCAGCACTCCGCGTGGCACTTGTATTCTGGCACAGAGCCATGTTGGTGCTTGAAACGTACAGTCGACTCCCGTTAATACGAAGTTCACGGGAACCGCAAAAAACTTCGAATTAAACGAACTTCGAATTAAGCAAAAAGCACTAAAAACGGCACTTTTATTAGTTTAAAAGTGCGACAGTTTTGAGGAAAAATAGTCTGTCATCTTCTGCTTGCCGAATCTGGCTGCGGCTAGCAAGTTTTGTAAGGAATACACGTGTCGAAGTGCTTCTTCGGCGTTGTGTTCTCCAACGAAAAACCGCTGCGCAAGAGCAAGACCCGCAGCTACATCGGCAGCCCTCGGTGGTGGCTCATTTCCGATGTCGTCGTCATCATCGTCATTTTCAGGAATGCAGTCATGGGGCCGAACCATCTGCACGATTTCGCTGTCCGTTAGGGGACCGCATGTTTCGACGTTGCTGTCCACAGCGACGTACTCGTCAAAACGGACGTCACCGAGAGCGGCGCGAAAGCTACCGTCGTCGAGCTCATTTGTTTGCACTTCCACTGGCGCACAAGGAGAAGCATCCCCCGAGTTTTCCATGAAACCACAGGCCCGGAAACAATTGGCGATGGTTTCTTCTTTCACGCGGGTCCAAGCTCGCGCTAGCATGTTGATGGCACTAAGCAAACTCACCTCGTATTGCGACAAGTTGTCCATGCACAAAAGCATGCACTCGACGAGATGCTGCCTATACAATACCTTCACATTTTTTATTATGCCCTGGTCCATGGGCTGCAACACGGACGTCGTGTTTGCAGGCAGGTACACAACACGGATGGCACTCAAGGCAGGTACGTTCATGTGGGCACTACATTGGTCCACAAGGAACTACACCTTACGGCTTGATTGCGCGAACTTGCGGTCGAGTTTGGTGATCCAGTCCTTAAATATATCGGATGTCATCCACGCCTTTCTGTTCGAGGCATAATCCACAGGAAGCGTCTTCACGCCTTTAAAGCACCTAGGCTTGGCAGCCTTCCCGATCACAAGCAGGCGACACCGTTCTGTGCCAGTCATGTTCGCCGCGACTAGCACTGACACTCTCTCTTTGCTTCTTTTGCCTCCAGAACAGTCGTCGTCTTTAAATGTCAGGGTCTTGTCTGGTAGCAGCCGATAAAAAAGCGCAGTCTCGTCTGCATTAAAAATGTCTACCGGCTGGTATTCTTCGAGGTACTCGCGAAGCTTGCCCGCTTTCCATGTCAGGCACGTTTCCTCATCGATTGACGCCTTCTCCCCACACACGCTTTTAAAAATCAAGTCGTGGCGATGTTTGAAACCCGTAAGTCACCCATCCGAAGCAGCGAAGTCGTTGATGCCCAACATTTCAGCAAGCGATGACGCTTTCGCCGTGACGACTTCACCATTGAGAGGAAGTTTGTTGTTTCGTGCCTCTCTGATCCAAATCAGCAGTGCTTCCTCCAACTCGGGGTAGGCGCCGGTGCGCATCCGCTTCCGCGATGTCTTGAATTTTTCACTTTCAAACGCATCCAATATTGAGCGCTTATTCTTTATGAAAGTCGACAGCGTGTTAGGCTTAATGCCGTACTTTCTTGCAATGTCTTGTTTGGCGGTGCCTCCCTGGTCAACTTCCTTCAAGACTTCGACTTTTGTCGCTAGGTCTAGCGTTCGGTAAGGGCCACGAGTTGCCATCATCAAACGTACGTCACCACCACAACACTCAAAATCAGAAGCGCGGAAACACGTGTGGAATCAACCCAGCGCACGGGTGACGCGGTGACACACTCGAGTCTCGACAAAAGTCAACTAAAGAGTCAGCCGATGCCGCCGATGCGATTCGCCAGCGTTAAAAAGATTGCCGCTTCAAGATCTGTGGCGATGCGGACAGTAGTGATGGCAAAGACACCAGCGCGGTCCGGCAGATGTTTTGGCATATGAAAAGTTCCCCATTTTACTGTAAAATTACGGTCGCGACGAGACTGTCGATTGAAAAAACTTCTAATTAACCAATATTATGGGTTTTTAACTTCGAATTATCGAGCATTTTTTTCTATACGATTGCATGCAAAACTGATGGGACCACTTGCTCATTTCTAATTAACCGAAACTTCCAATTAAGCGACTTCGAATTACCGGGAGTCGACTGCAAAAAGTTTTTGAAAAACCCTTTGCGGAAAAGACCCTGTATAAGCGTCACGTCAGGCAAAGAATCACGTCAACCTATGTAATAATAGCCTGGCAGAAGAGTAAAACAACAACTAGTCATCACACAATGCAAATTGTACAAGTGTGTGTTTTAATATTTCCACCCACTGTCAAGTTCTCAGTCATAATTATTGTCTTCAGCCACATGCAGCATCAACAAAGTGCACACGATACTGTACAGACGTACCTCGCTTATCCGCAAAAAATACTAAAACAGTCGAACCCCTTAAGGGGGCAGATTGGTCTTTGGGACCAAAAAGTGACAAAAAAATTCATTTTTTAAAATTGACATATTTGGTTTCTGCAAGTATTTTTCTATCTCTCTGCAAATTTTCACACACCAGGAAGTGGTAAGTTTTTTTGTAATGTCATTCTAACTATCAAGATTCTTGGTGCTGTTAACGTGCAGAACCTGCAAAAAAAGGAGGACCGACTTCGAGGCTTCTTTACAATTTGCCGGCACCTGTGTTAGAAGCTCTGCTACGAATTTATGAGCACCTTCATGAGGATTGCAAAACGTGCGCACCATGATTTTTGCTTTTTGAGGAAGCTGTGTGTTTTCATTTTTTTTTTTCATTTTTCTGAAAAAAGTAAATTTACGACTGTTCAGTTTTGAGGCCTCAATATCTCTGCAGCTAGGGCAGGTACAACAATAATTCTTCTTGCAATGGAAACCTGTATGTGTGTAGAATGCAAGTATAAGAACAGAATTTAGAGCACAAACCTTTTTAATTAATTACTCATCAAAATTGTAATACAATTCCAACTGCTTTTGAAAATGGATAGTTTATTTTGCTGTAAAATAACCAAGAAAGGCCTACAAACAAAATACTCTTGCATACTTTTTCTATAGTCATTAGTTTGTTAGCATATCTTAAATATCACTTCTAATTGAGCACTTTTTTATATGGCGGCCTTAAACAATAGGGGGTGAACTTGTGTTATCTCAGGAACAAGATGAGTTACAGGAAAGCGAAATAAATATTTGAAATCAGCAGAAAAAACTACACAATCTTATGCAGTTTGATCAAGATTACTGAAAAATGAAACAAAAAATGTCTAAGACCATTCGCCCCCCTTAATATGAAAGACCAATGTGCCTGCATAAAAATAGGGGATGATCTGAAAATGAGAACATGGTGTCCTGCTTATAAGAGACACCTTGAATAAAAGGCAATAATTGCTCCCATATCTTGCAGAGGAGTTCGAGTGTAATGCCGCAGTTCTTGGCCTGCGCTCAGCATTGGCATGTCTCTCTGCTCCTGTGGTGCAGGGAGATCCAGCTCCTGCGTCAGCTGAGCCACCGCAACGTCATCCAGCTGGTGGAGGTTCTGCACAGTGAGCAGAAGCAGAAGATGTACATGGTGATGGAGTACTGCGTGGCCGTCCTGCAGGAACTGCTCGACAGTGCCCAGGGACACCGACTGCCCCTCTGGCAAGCACATGGGTAGGCTCACCAGTCGGGGGCCATACTCGGCTACCACTTACATATTTTTTTTCATGCAGCTCATCCTAGGAGAGCACCGCGTATTCTGTAGTCATTAACTGATTCCAGGCAGCTTAATGTTTTTGATGAAGAGACGCTGAGGGGAGGAAGGAGAGGATGCTAAAAGTTCATCCGTCCTCTTATTTCATGTGCTTCAGGAGCGGCAGTAGCACTTGTGCTTCCTTCACCACTGCAGCTCAAATATTTTTACATATCCACAGCTCGAACAAGTTCACGATAGAGGAAATGTTATGTAAGGGTGTTCACTTAACAAGCATTCCTGTTTGCTATAGAGGTCTGGCACAACTCATATACAGGGCTTCTGCAGAAGAGGACGTTTTCACAAACTCAACAATTTTAACACCAAAACATTCTATGCTGGGGTCCACCACACCTCCACTACCGCCACTGATGCATTGCTGTCACAGATATGATGTTGTCCCCGCAGGGGCATCTGTGAGAGCAGGCGCTTGGTGCGTAGCATCACCACAGACTCAAGCTAACGGGGGAATATTGACTCCCCCCCATGCCTGGCCGTGCGTGGCCGATGCCGGGTGATTCGACCTTTAAGCCCTCCCCCGGCGGAGGCAACACATCTTTTTGGCCCTGGCTTCACCTAGACGGCACCCTTGGGCTGACCCACCTAGGGGTAATTGGCAGTCCCCTTTTTCTGCCTCTCTCTCTCTCCTCAACATGGTCTTTCTCTTTCACTTCTTTTTTATCTTTCCTGTCTACTTCTCTCTTCTGTTTACTGCCGATCTCTCCTGGCGGCAAGGGTTAACCTTTAGTGGATGCCCAGTCGTGGCCATTCCATATTAGGTTATAGCAGTGCTGTACAGCTGGCATTTCCTACCATGTCCCCTGTTTGGGCTCGGTGGCCGCTGCCGAACATAAACGAAAATGTTGAGTGCATTCTCTTTCGAAGCTGATCGTAACTTGAAAAGGTTGCGCACCGAAGCTGTCACCACATTCCTCTCAAGGACCAACAAATACTTTCCAAAATACCATGTACTACAAAGTGCAGAGACTGGTGGAAAAGCCACAGCTATCTATTCATTCTTTGTAGCAAGAAACTTACCGTAGCAGAGAAACTAGGACCTGGCTATAAGGTCTTTAAGATGGCTAGCGACGATCTGCTACTTTAACTGCGATACAGGAAGCAATATGAAGCTCTCCCGAATTTGACATTCATTGGAAACATCCCTATCGCAGTCAGTCCACATAGGTCTATGAATACCACTCGAGGTGTTGTCTTTGATGACGACCTCCTGAATCTAACTGAAGCTGAGCTTCTTGACGGATGGAAAGAGCAAAATGTTGTAAGCGTTCAAAAAATAAAGATCAAACGAGACAACACAGAAAAGCTAAAAATACACATTACACTGGCATTTCAATCTAGTGAACTGCCGAAACACATTGAAACAGGTATACGTACCAAAACGGCCATACGTACCGAATCCGCGAAGGTGCTTCAAGTGCCAACGATACGGTCTTGGCTCCTTTGCTTGCCGAGGACAATCTACATGTGCCAAATGTGCATCAAAAGACCACATTTCTGACAAGTGCAATTCTCCATGTCACTGTGCGAACTGCGGTGGTCACCACCCAGCATACTCACGATCGTGTACAGTCCAGCATGTAAAAAGAAAAAAGACATAATTACATTGAAAGTAAGGGAGGCTAGGAGGAGGTTCTCACCGTTTTGGGGCACAACCTACGCTGATGTGGCGCGTCAGGAGGCAGCGCCGCACCAGCCTCCCCCACTTGTCCGGCCTGTGCAGAGTGAGCCGATGCCTGTGGCAGCTGCCTTCAAAGCGGCAGTAGTCAAGTCTACTCCGCTAACTTGTGAACAGGAACCGGCGACTCCATGGCCGTCGGGTCCCAAGGCCTTGTCACACAAGGCGAGGCCCCAAACTCGTACTAAAGACACACGCGTGCAGTCTTCCAGTGCATCTCAGGAGGCAACTGAAACAACACTGGTAACTTTGGTGCTGCAACACCGACGCGGTTCTTTGGACTGCGCCAAAAAAACAAAAAAGCCAAAAACGGGGCCGGACGATGGTCTTGCCTCTTGAACCCTAAAGTACACTATACCCATTAAAATACACACAGCACCATTCCGTGCTCATCATGCAGACACAAATACTTCAGTAGAACATCTGAGGTTTTCTTCGAAACCTCGATGACCTACAAGAACTGCTCCACAAACACAATCCACAAACGTTGTGTGTACAAGAGACCCACTTGAAAGCAAAACATACAAGCTTTTTGCGGAATTATGTCATTTTTCGAAGATATCCAGATGATGCAGTGGCATCATCAGGTGGTGTAGCTATTATTGCTAACCAAGGAATAGCATGCATGCATTTACCTCATCAAACTTCCCTTGAGGCAGGGGCTGTTCGAGCCGCTATCCTCAATAAACTCACCACAATTTGCTCTGTGGCACGTGTATATGTGCTGAGGCCTGGTTCGCTCGTCGGGCGTTGCGAAATGAACCATAGAGGCTGATGGTACCAAACGAAAACTACCACTTCATTACCATGAAAATCACAAAACGAAACAACAACAAAAACATGCACACGTTGAAAAACACAGAAAAGAAGATGTCTTAATAATGCGCGTTTCAACATCCGATTCCGTTTGCGTTCTCTAGTTCTCGCGCTTACAGTTGTGGCGTGGCCTCCGGTCCGCAGGGAGTTCCTCTCAGGCGTGATGACACCCCATATTGATGCTCAACGGTGGCGACGATATTGAAGAACCACTACAGCGGTAGCTCCAGTGGTTTCTCGCCGAGGCAGGTGCTCGGGCGGGATAAACTGCAGACCAGGGTCGGCGGTGGTTCCGGGGCTGCTCGCCGAGTTCGGTACTCGGGCGGGAAACTGCAGCCCAGGATCAGCGGTTGCTCTGTGCGCTGCTCACCGAGTCAGGCGCTCGTGCGGGATACACTGCAGACCAGGGTAGGCGGTGGTTCCGGGGCTGCTCGCCGAGGTCGGTGCTCGGGCGGGAAACTGCAGCCCAGGATCAGAGGTTGCTCTGTGTGCTGCTCGCCGAGTCAGGTGCTCAGGCGGGAGCCTGGGGCGAGACCCAGTCCGAACTTCCACAGCTCTTGGCCCCTCGAACACTACGTCCCGGCTCTCACGTTCCTCACTCGCCCCGCGCCCTCTTCTTTTTCCTCTTCTTCTCCCTGATTGCAGCATTTTAAATTACCTATTCAAGACAACTTCTTTCTCTTCCTCTTTTCTTCATCTTGTGATTCTTGACAATGGCCCCCAATTTTTTTAGTTTTCGCTCCACAAAAACTGTCGTCCCCACTAGCACCATACACTTCACTGTACAACACAACACTTCCCTGCCTAACACAGCACTTCACTTCCCGGCACATCTCGGCACTTCCCTTCACCGCACAACACTTCACTTCACGGCACACCACGTCACTGCACGGCATACTTAAATCCATAGTGGCACCACTAGACTTGCCTACACTAACACGCACATCCATCTTCGTGAGTCACAGGTCACACTTCACTGTCACCCCACATCAGCCATGAAACAATGATACTAGGTATGTGTCCGCATGAAGTTTCCTCTGTGGGACACTGGTTTTATAGGTCCTACAATGTCCAGTGCGACTCTTTGAAAACGTTGCTCAATAATAGGCATAGTCCTCAAAGGTGCCTTCGAGACCAAACCTTTTGGTGTGGTTCTCTGACATGTGTCACAAAATCGCACAAACCTTTTAATGTCGCTTTGCATGCGCGGCCAAAAAAACTCTTCAGCGACCCTGCTAGTTGTCTTTCTTACTCCCTGATGGCCAGCCATAATAGTGTCTTGTGCCAAGTCTAGAACAGCCCTTCGTAAACTCACCAGCACTGCTGTCTCTTTTCCCCTCCCTCATGGGTCTTGACTATTCTGTACAACAGCCCTGAAAGTTTCTCAAACTTATGCACGACCTGACCCCTCTTACAATAGATCCATTTGTCCTGAATCTCAAAACACCGTCGCAGCGTACTGTCCGCTTCCTGCATTCTCCCCATTTCTGCTGCAGTTATGTCCATGGCTGCTACTGAGTTGTTCTCCTTGATGCCCTCCTTTTCCTTTTCACCCTTGTTCCTCGTGGCTTTCTCCACGGCATAGGCGGAATCTTCCCTGGTATGCTGATCAACACATCTCTCGTCACGTTTATCCATAACCTTATGAGGTTGGAACTCCGTACCCTCAGCACGCGTTGTAGTAGGCAATCTCCAGAGGAGATCCGGATCGTCAACTCCTCTGACCCCTGGCATATTACCGAGAATTACGTCACAAAGAGGGTCTTTGACACATCGGGCTTCAATCCAACCGCAGCAATACGGCGACAAAATCAGTACCCTATCAACTGGCATCCGCCGTACTGTTCTATCAGCCAACCGAACCGGCTTTTCTCTACCCGTGATATCCGTTTCTGGCACCATGGATTCTCTTACAAGTACAATGTTGGAGCCCGTGTCTCGAAGTACCGACACTTTACGTCTGCGCAACATCCCCACGACCACTGGCATAGCATCTTCGGCTGCTCCCGCCTTGACAGATGCCGTAACAGCACTTGTCTTATCCTTGTCCTCCTGGTCACGTTGTTTTTCCCTGTCAGCATCAGCAGAGCTTTCATCTGCAATCATGCAAGCCGTTTTATTTCCTGACCGATCATCACAAGTTTCTGTTGTGTGCCCACGCTTTCCGCACAGGTCGCATTTCGACGATGAACTGTGAGTGCGACCCGCGGCACAATTTGCTGCCCTATGCCCAGTCTTGTCACAGAGGTAGCATTTGATTGCACTCCGGGTTTGCTCTTTCTCCTCCAAACCTTTCTCATCTTGGGCTTCCCCTAGATTCCTTTGACCTTGAGCTTCTAAATAACGGTTGGCGTGTTCGGACAGCTCAGCCACCGCCTTCAAGTTCCGCTCCTTTAGGAATATTGCCAC